CCCCCCCTCCTCACTCCTATGCAAAGTCCAGCTCCAAGATGGAGTTCTGGAGTCACCTGGGCAAGTCACATGTTCCTGCATGACTCAGTCTTTACAGGCCGAAGCCATTGTCCACATGGTATCTTATATGTCTCCAGGAAGACTTCTTATGTGGATTGGAGCATTCCAAGATGCATTATTCCCCAAGTGCTTCCTGATCAGGTACTTAACCTTGCAAATTCCTTCCTAAAGAAACTGATCAAATGCCTCACAAAGCTTACTTAGAAACCAAGCAAGTATACAGCCCATATTCTTAACCTCAAGTAGAAAATGATATACATGTACAAATAGGATGAATAGATATAGTGGACCATAACCTTTACGGAGATATATTACATGGCACAGGCAGCGCAAAACATATTCCAGTTATTTCATACATACATTTATAAGCACACACAAACACACACTCCATAAAGCCTTATGGGGTTACACTGTCACAACCATCATAGCCCTCTGCAAACCCACCACCTTCACTGCTCTCACACGGGTCAGATGCAAACAGCCAGGCCCCAGCAGTGACCTCTGGACACTTCACCAGGAACACCTTCATAGCTCTTACCTGGGCTATGCCCGGCTGTGACCAGCTCTGGCAAAGCACCAGATCTAGGCTCACTGGGCCCATGGAGGCTGGGATGTTGGGCAAACAAAGAGGTAGACTCACAAGCCAGGGCCACTGGGACTGTCCAGACCCAGCTCACAGTTTGCCAGGGCACATGTAGAGCTGAGGCCATTCTTGGGGTTCAGGTTTGTCAGTCACCGAGGAGAGACTTGGCCTGTGGCCCTGCAGGAGGGCATCACCTGCTCTGCTGCTGCTGCCAATGGCACAGAGCAGTTTAAAGGGAGGGGAGCTGTTACATTGGGGGTCCCCAAAACTGACTGCAAAAAGTGCCCATCCCAAGAGAGGTAGTTCTCATCACATGGTGTCTAGTCAGTCCTAAGTGCCTTAGACAGCTCCACTGCACTCAGTGCCCTCTCCTCGGGGCATGAGGCAACCTATGTTGAAAGGAAGCGTCTACCACCTACCAACAGGCAGAATTCCTGTGATGCCAAAATGGTAGTGCTGGCTCAGTCACTGGGAGCATGTAGGGCTTGGCCAGAGGCAGGGGAGCTGGGCACTGGTGAGAACAGAAGGACTTCAGCACTGCGTGAAGAATTTTCCAAGGGCCCTAATGGAGTTAAGAGCCCAACTCCCATTTCACAGGGATTTGGGTGCATAACTCCATTAGGCGCCTCTGAGAATCTCAGCCTGGAGAGCCAGTGGGATTCTGTTATGCTAGGTTCAATCTATGCATTTCTGTTGGAAACAGAAATGCACTGGACTGATGCGATACCCCCGCTAAACCTGCAGCCGCATCTGTATCTCATCCAACCCAAGCCAACCGTGGGAAAAGAGAAGTAAACTGAACAAGAATGCAGGGGATTGCAAAAACTAGTGAGACAGTGAAGGCCAGCGAGGGGGAAAACAACAGTTTTGCATCCCTGAACCTGGTGAGTTTTGGGAAAGCTGAGGGAGCCATAGAATCATAGAATATCAGGGTTGGAAGGGACCTCAGGAGGTCATCTAGTCCAACCCCCTGCTCAAAGCAGGGCCAATCCCCTACTAAATAATCCCATCCAGGGCTTTGTCAAGCCTGACCTTAAAAACCTCTAAGGAAGGAGATTCCACCACTTCCCTAGGTAACCCATTCCAGTGCTTCACCGCCCTCCTAGTGAAAAAGTTTTTCCTAATATCCAACCTAAACCTCCTGTGAAAGTGAAATGAATTATATTAAAGAAATAGAATGAATTAAAGAATGCTGTATGTACCTTTAAGTAAAAATGAAAAAGGCTGCAAGCAAGGGGGGCAGGAAAGCAGACATTAACTGCTTAACTTGCCACTTAAGGGCAATT